TTGAAAATGGCAGAACACCTGTGATGCGAATGCAAACTGCATGAAGTACGGGATGTACATACTGAAACATGCTCATGTGTGCTTATGCTTTTGACAGGTTCTCTTGCGCTGGGCCCAGAAAAACACTGGGTATACTGCCCCCCGTGCAAGGTCGCAGTTTGGACACATGAACGCCATGTCCGTTGCGATCCTCAACGGGGAGAGGTTGGAGACCGCCGACCCCTACGTGCCATTTCCCCGTGCGCCTGAGCGTGCACGCGGACGTGGGCGACGGCGGGGTGCCGCACCGGGCCGATCTGTACCGGCGTGGGCTGCTGGTGGTACTCGGCATCGTGGTCGCCGATGAAAGGCCGGGAGGTCAAACATTTCCAGCCACTTGGCTGAGGAAGAGTTTTAATGAGGGTTGTGAAGGCCGGGACGGTCATGTAAAACAACCACTCTTTCTCTTCATCCAAAACTGTTTTGTGTGTTGTGTTTTGTTAACTGGGCATGTGGCAAATCGCACAGCCAGTTCCACCAACATACATACAATGTTTCTGCTCCCGTATTCACTTATACTGGGACGAGGACGCCCCTCTCCCTGAGGGGGACGAATGTTACGCGCACCAGCCTGATGTGGGAGACGTCCTACTAATGGCCCTTGGTGTGGGGGACGCCCTGCCCAAGGCACGTACTATTCCTCACCCACTGTAACCTTTATCCATATTAGGATACGGGAGTAGGAGGGGTGGTCCCGCCTAGGTGCCCTGTAAGGACCTAGGTGCCCGGCGAGGCGGGTCCGCGGCTCAAAGAGGGCAGGAACCCCACACCCACATCCTATTCGTAACACAATGCATCATCAAAGCACATTGAAGAACTGTTGTCCATCCCAAAAGCTTCATTGTTGCGGCAGCCTGTTTGAATTTTGTAACGGCGTCTGCGCATCTGAAGCTTGCCTCATCAACTCGATTGTTCGTCAATGTACACCGTTAATTCCAGGTCGCAATGGAGTGTCTTTCACACCCTTCTCACGGCGACATTTCCTTCCAGCATATTCTTGTTGCGCATGGGCTGCCCCAGATTCTGACCTTGATTGAGAATATTCTCATTTATTGTTCAACATTAATGGTGGTTTTTGAGCGGTGAAGTCCCTGACAACGGCAGATTGGTGCATTCAAAACATGAGCTGCTGGCAAAAATTCTGAAACAATCGAATTGGACACTGGACTTGTCCAATTCTGGTCATGCCGCGTAAGCGTCCAAATTTAACTCAGATTCCATTTCGTTCTCGTCAACCACCATCACACCTGATCCATGCCCTTTTCCGCCAGCTTGGGCACCGGCGCTTATCGAATCCATCCTTTTCTCCCGTAGGTGCAGGCGCACTCCCCATGTGACGGAAGTTTTCGTTGTTAGGAGTATATCTCATCTAGAAGCCCTGATACCTAATGTTGTGGCATCCATGTGTGCGCCTTTCCCCAATGCCGCACATTAGTTTCAAAACTCTCTGCCCTCGCTGAAGACGTCAACCCCCCTGGTAGGCCCAGTCATCTTCCATGGCTGACTTGCCAAATCGTGCTTGCAGTTGGTCGCATTCTCCATTCCGCTATCAGTGCCTATCGCTCCCAGCACGCCATGATTGCAGATTCGTGCCAACGATGTCCTTGAATAGGCGCGGAAATCCACATGTACATGGCTTGATAAGGCTCCAATTTGGGGTCAGTGGCGTGCCCCGCTAGGCCGCTGTACGACATTCCCGTGCAATACACATGCCCAATTTTGCAACCAAGTTGTGTTCATAGGGAGCCGAACGCTGCAGCTATGCATGTTCCCCACTATTGAATATGCCAGCGCGCACACAATATTGCCCGTGTATACCACACTTTCCAATGATTCGACGCAATAGACAATGCCCAAATCGAAGCTCGTGTTGGAAAAATGCATTGTTTTGTGTCGATGCTTCTTTGCTGGGGCTGCTCCATGCTTCAAAGCAACGTACGGAGCCCACACAGCCCACTGCCGCAAACCTCACAGGCTGTTCACTGTCCCACATGACCCACATTGGGAGCATATATCTGAAATAAGATTTGGTGCCATTTGGACTTTTGATGGCACCGGGATTTTTAGTTGTGCCCGTTGCGGACATGATTTGTTTCAAGTATTTTGGGCCAGGTAACAACCAGTCCTCCGGTGAATGCTCAATTTGTGTATTTTCAGTTGGGCTGATCCCGACAGGGAGATTGGGTGCTAGTAGCTTTGGCAATCTGCCCATGCTGAAAGCATCCACCAATGAATATCCCATGGTGGCGCTGAGGGATCTGAGAAAGTCCATGGGTCAAAACCTTCCTTGCACAACGAACAATGGTTTCCTAGCGCGACTTCACAGCGAGGCAGGCTTTTGTTCTGCAAGGATCTCTCCGGTCGGTTTTGCTAGCCGGCTGGAATGGCAGTGTCCCACATCCTTATACAGCACGGCTGCACTTTGTGCAAGTTTGCCATCAAACATCATCGCCATCAGCTGATCGGGCAAATTTGTCGAGCCAAGCTGCCCCTGAGGCAGGCAACACCGCATGCAGTGCAATGACGCCACAAGGAAAGCATCCACAGCAGTGTAAAACGTCATTTGTACACGTGATTTAAGGGCAATGCAATGCCATGCGTCCGCCCATCCTGTGAGTGCTGCATTTTGACAACAAACGAAATTCTGTTCAACGGCTCTACCTACATCAAGCGGAGTGGTAAGTCTAGTCACGGCCAATGAATCAAGCTGTTGTGAGTTGCGAGCCATCCTTATGACGTGAAAAGATGAAATGATCCACGCCGAACAACGTATGTTTATTTTTCAAGGCACAAGCTACTGGCGGCAATGCAAATTTCGCTCGTACCCTTGCCAAAGATCTACCCGTTTGTTTCCACACTGCACGGCTGGACCATGAAAAGACAACGCGCACATTGATGGCATGCATGCGAAGCAGATCAGCCCCTTTCCTGCCCAGTCCTGACCACGTCGCTGCCTTAAGAAGATATGCCGTGGGAAGCAGGGTGAGTTCAGGACGTGCACAGAATCAAGTATGACGTCGATAACCACATGTCCTCGAGTCCAGCGTGGACGTCTCATAGCATAACCTGCTCTTAACAGCACTTCTCCGTGGTGTTTTTACTGCACGAATGTGTGATCTGTCATCTAACCACTGCCCTTTGTTCGTCTTACTCATCCTCGGGCCATATATGGTGGCATTTGAGTCTGTGTTCTGAGTCTATCCCTCTCATGCACAAGGTACATCGTCAAGGAATCAACGCGGGTAACGTGCTCTGTGAGTGCCTGGCAACCACAAAAACACAGTCGACTGTAACAACAATGCTCATATAGTGGTCACATGTGGCTCACCAAATGTCACCCAATTTGAAGTGACAGCAACACACACAATAAGGGATGATTCCATCAATAGCACAAGCACCAATAGATCGTACACTGGCGTATTGAGATTGTCCCTTGCCAATTTATCTATGCTTCCCTTCTAAAGTAAGGATTTGAGATTCCACCTCAAACAATGAACATCACTGAAACGTCATTATGGACAACCCGACCTACAAGTGACTGCTGGCACTGGAGATGACAGTGTGCAAGCCGCCAGTTGACGAAATAAGTGCATGTCATGTGTCAATATCACACAACAAGACTACATATCAGCAAAAATACGACCAGGACAGTCGTGATCTTGACAATCAATTGATCAACCACTGCCATATCAACACTGCGACAGGAATTCCGGACATACAGACAAGCATTGTTAGTAACACATTCAATGACCACAGGTGCTGTGCCACACAACTCCGCACCTGTATTTCAAGTTCAAGCACCTTAGTGTCCTTCTCCAGGACTGAATTGTCTTTCTCTAGCGTCTCCATTTCTCGTCTGCAAAGCAAGTTCTGAATTGTCAACGTGTCGTGCTGCAGCTGCAGGGTCTCTAGGTGTTGCTTCTGTTTCTGTTTTGATCGAGCTGCACTCTGCCTGCAGCAATGATCAAGCCAGCAATGCATCAGACATGAGCCATCTAACTGACGAGTTGTGAGCAGCGTTCAGTAACACACGCTACTGAAAGGCAAACAGACTTCACGAAGATGGGCATGGTCTGTGACACTGCAGGACAGCATGCTCAGTCGTTCTGAGATACATTGTCGATTTCTGTTGCCCGTATCCATTACGAGCGCCTTGCACAACTTTGCTTTTGTCACGTAACCTGGCAGACTTGGGTCAATGAGATGATATGAGGCCTCCCTTTGTGGCGCCCCTCAGCAAGCGATATCCAATATCCCTCCTCGACCTCGCATGCTGGAAGCATACGCGATACGATTGGGACCCAAAACGAAAGCAGGGTGCACACCTGCAAACGAGGGTATGGTGTGTACATAGTCGCACTCCAGCATGCATTGTACATGACTTAATGACAACATTGTCGCGTATGTCGCCCACTCAAAGTCTTTCATGCACTGCTCACGGCACCTAGCGGGTAGCTGCTCGAGAAAAAGATGTCAGCGAATTTGAGATTCGGCGACTTCAGCATTCAAGACTGAAGACCTTTCAACAGTTCAGTCCCATAGTCAGATTAGCAGCAACCTTGTCGACTATACTTGTCACTCTTTGAGTGGTCATGTTGCCTATCGTTCCTGATACATATGGGACAGCAATCGCAAGCAGAGACGTTGCGCTACATCACGAGTGGATCGCAGGCGCTGTGAACTGTAGTTGCGAACAACCATTTGTGCCGTAAGGCGAGACAGGCATTAGCCAACTGTAGACAGTAGAGAATCATAAGCACGCTGGGAAAACATCTGCAATCCCTGATCCTCAGATCCAATTGGACATCTGCTACAGTGGAAGATGTTAGGCCAGGCATGCACACATTCGTTAAGTGTCTGGCAGTGTTCTCCCGAGCGGGCAAGAACATTTGGCATACTCTGGGCAATAATCGAAGCAATGTGTGCCACATTCTTGTGCACTATCAGTCACAACCACCCAGTCACCTGTTGGCCACAATCCTCTTTGCTTTTCGAGGATCCATGTTTGGGTCCAGCCGTGGGTCCTTGGCTGGCTGCCGGCCCCCTTTCCCTTTCTTCTTGTTCGGCCGGAACAGCAGCATGGACTGGAGGGACTCAATACCGCTAAGCTCTTGCACAATCTTTTCAAAGGTTGCACTTGAGAGGTTGCCATCTTCATTCAGGCTGTACCGTAAGGTTTCGAGTGCTGCATTGAGTGCAGCATCCTGCTTGCTGTGAGAAGCATTCCCTAAGAGCACAGAGATCAACGATCATGCGCATCCATACCATGCAATCCACAGAAAGAAAATAGCAGACAACTTGCAACCAAGGCCATGAAAATTAGCACAGTCGTACTTGCTCCTCATATACAAGTTGTGTGTCGTTAGTACCCACCCACCATTCCTATCTGGTGCTGAACTTGAGCCCCCTGGGGCTATGCCTGCTTCGTGCGATGCCGAATGAAGCTGGTGAGCTGGAACTGCTGCCCTTGAATATGATGCATCGCCAGTGCTGGTCTGGTGCATCCCATTGCTGGCACCAGCTGTGCGCGATTGTGCAGTAGTCGAACCCTGCAACAAGAGATCATCAGCAGTCCGAACTACAGACACTGGACTGATCAGCTGCTCACAGGAGACCATTGTGCAGCTGCACAGCACTGATTTCCCAAGGTTTCGCCCAACAATTCACATCGAAGTGTCCAAGCAGGCAATAACGAACTTGTGTTGGCAGGGAGCCAGCAAGGCCTTGGCCCAGTCCACAGTCTGACTAACCTGGCCTGGAAGCACACTGGGCTGAGCAAGTATGAGACCTTGAGCCCCTTCTGGGCCCTGTCCAGAGTAAGTACCATGGGCACCACCTTGCTGTTGCTTCTGCTGTGTTGCTAATAGTGCCTGATAGTCGGATTGCTGGTGAGCTAGTCGTGCCTCAGCCTCAGAAACACAGTACACCATAGTCAGTAGACATCACTGTGACATAAATAGGACAAAATCAGCATAGCTAGGAAAGTGCATAGTGAAGCAAAGGGGCAGGAGGACAACTCCTCAGTGCCCATTATTGATTGGTCAGCGAACAGAGCATTCATGGACTTCTGTTGGCCACAGGTATTGCCATTTCAAATCGCAACTGGCTGTCAATGGCAAAGATGCCGTGCTCTGCAAGGCTATCTCACCATGGACAACCGCAAACTACACATGGATACTGCGGTGCATTGCTGCCTGTAACGGGCCAGGGTTCTTGTGATCTTTGAGGAACCAGGCAGATCTCCAACAGCAACAAGTTTGTTGGAAAGCAAGTCCCTTCAGCTGGCATTTCATCCATGGTCATCTTGTGTGCGGTGGAAGTCCTCGGGCACAATGCACACCTGATTCTGAAGGGCCTGCAAGCTGCTTTGCAGCTGGGTTTGCAGCTGTTTCTGGCCCACATCCCCACTGACCATTGCAGGAGCAGATAGCGCCTTCTGGCCTACCTCGCCACCCATGCCCTCTGGCAAACGGCCATTTGTCCCCACACTGTATGCCTCTCCACCAGCGCCATATTGCACGGCCTGAAGGTATGACTGTGCGCTTGCAGTGGACGTCTGACCAAGAGAAACGCCTGCTGCCTGCATGTGGCTCGATAGGATGGCGGCGCTCTGCCCTTGGTGAGGTGCCACCCCCTTGATGGAAGCGCCTTGGGGCCCTGCTGCTGCAGGCATGTGGCTGAGTCCGCCCCCATCGCCCTGCTGCTGCACTGCAACAGGCGGAGAGCTCTGGACGTGCGTGTGTGCACAGGCGCCGTGCGATGGCCTGGATATGTGGCGGTGGTTGCCTGCTGGCAAAGGGGCTAGCTGCCCTGGATGGGTGTTCCTGTAGCCCTGCAGGCGGCTCAGTGTCTGGTCCATTGGCGCCATTTCAGGCCGGCTGATGGCCGCACCCTGCTCCGGGCCGACGCTCCCCGATGGGGACATCGATGGGCCGGGCGAGACAACTTCACGCAAAGGCTGATTGCCCGCGGAGGGTGTAGAAACGTTGGTGACTTGGACCCGCGCCCCCAGGCCCGAGGCGCCGTGGGTTGGCGGCGTGATCGGCGATTTCTCCGCGGAGCCGGGCAGCATAGGTTGGAGTGGCATCGGCCGTGTGGGGCTGAACAACTCCGTGACCATCCCCAGTTCCTCCGAGTCCAGTATATTCTTCTCCACAAGGTTGACAACCCCATGGTCACACAAGATCTCCCGGGCGTCCGCCACGAGGTCCTGCATCCCCGCCATCGCGACCGCAAGCGCCGCCGGCACAACCTCCCGCAGGCTCCTTCGGCAAGATGCCCTGTGCCAGGTGTCAACGGCAACGCCTGCAATCCACAGCGAAACCCGAGGGCCACCGAATGGCCATCAAGCACCGCCCCGGTTTCCACATCCCGATAGACGGCGTGTCCAGCCGTCGAGTGCTCTCTTTCGTGCTCTGGACTCCACAGCCCCACTCTCCCATCCCTGCCACCCCATTCGCGCGCGCTGCAATACGGATGTTCGTCATGACCTCCCCTCACCCTTGGCGGCCGCGGCAGATGGCCGCCGTCAGCCAGCATCGCCTTCGCGGACTGCGATCGGCCACGAGTCGTAAAATCCATCCGATGCAGCGACACCGCCCTACACACACTTCCCAGGCAGACTTGGCGCCCAACAGCCGCCTCGGTCACGCGTGCCGGGAGTGAGAGTACAGAAACCCCGCCAGCCCACGCGGCCCTGCCTGCCACCTACTCCCTGAACTGACGGGAAGGTCGCCGGTTCGCCAACAGACCACAGCAGCGCCTCCCATTTGTCCAAAGCCACGCGCCCTGCCCCATACAGGCGATGGCGCAGGCGGGGGGGAGCGCAAAAGCTGCCCGGGCAACGGTGGCCAAGGCACGGCGTGGAGCAGCAAGGCTACGGCCCGATGCCCATCACCGCATTTCAGGCGCCCGGGTCGGAACACCAGCGAGCGGTCCCTCGAACAACGAGATTCAAGATGGCAGCGGTGCACCCCGGCAGGGGCCGAATGCGAGGTTGGAGGTGAAAGCTGCTCCGGTGCCAAGGGCGCCAACGCCAGACTACGAGGGTTGGCTGCGGCGAGCTTTGTGGATGCATTGGCTGCCAAACATCCCACGGACGACGTAATGGACGGCCATGGGTCGGGATGCCAGATCTGTGAAGTGCCAGATACGCGCACACCGCAGCACGCACAAGCGCAACGAGGCAGCCCCCCCGCCCACCCCGTTTCCAGGCACAGAGGTCAACCACGACGGAAACTGGATTCGCCACCGTCTGAGGCCTACTCTTTCCACAGCGCCGGAGGGCCCTCACGGCGTCATTGGCAGCCCACAGGACAATCGGCGCGAGGCTCGCCAGTAGGGCCCCGTCGTTTTGGCGATTACCGCAAAGCATCCTTTCTCGAGCCACCACGCGCCACCACGTCCCGTCAATGAAACCGCCCTGAGCTGTCAGGCACTCTGGTAACAGCTTACGCGATTTCAGCGACCGAGAGGCCGGAAAACCTCCCCGAGCGCCTCTCAGCGCCCTGGGCCGCCCCGCAGCTGCCGCCGTCGATACACACCTTGTCTGCCGGCGAAGGCTGCACCGAGGTGAATCTCCCGCCGGATCGCGCCTCTCCGCTTCACTCTGGATCCGTCAGCGGCGCGTCTGGCTGGACGTGCGCCCTCCCAGCTCCGGGCGCCCAGGCGAGGGCCGCCGCGACCGCCGACCAGGCTCAGAGGCGCTGTGTGCAAGAAACTGGGCCCCCGCCTACATTGGGAGGCCAGGGTCGAAGGATTGAGCCACGTGGGTGTGCCGGCCAGATACACCGTGGTTGCCCCCGGACCGGCCCCCCCGGGGTGGTGGGGGGGGGCCGCCCAGATTGGGAAGGCCGAGGCGGGCAGCGGTACTGCGCAAAGTATTGGGCGGGGCGTCGATGCAGATCGGGCGGGGCGAGGGTGATCGGCGTGATTCTGGACGCCAGATGGAGACAGAATGGACGGGTGGCGATCCGGGTGGTAGTCACGCTGCGGGACAGCTACGACGGGGGAATGTCTTCAGCGCCCGCCGTCACTGTTGACACATTACAAGGGGGGGCGCAACCGGGCTGCGGGGGCCGTGTGGCGCATCGCACTCGCGCCACTGGACCGCGCCGAGAATATTAGACCCTAAGGCTTTTCCGTCGTTCCGACTTTTCCGACGATCCCTTCTTTTTCCACTGACAAGGCCAACGCCGGTCAGTGGTTTCGGTGGTTTGGGGTTTTGGGGTGTCCAAAACAAGAAGGCATCTTCACGGAAAAGGCAGAGCGACTAATTTCCTGCCCCAGGCAAACGCAATGGTTAGCAACGGGCAACCATTACCGCTTCCACGCAGCGCAGCTGTCCGGCACGTGGCTTGCACAGGATTGAAGTGTGCGCTTTGCGGTGGCGTCAACACAGGCTACATTGCACTAAGGAGGGCACAAAGTGCGTGCTCCACAAGGACCCAGCGAATCTCAGCGGCAAAATGTTCAATTTCTTAGCACATGTTTACAAACAAACCATTTGCGTTCCTTCTTCACCACACCATCTCAACCTATCTCCAGTGTCCCAGTCACGCAAGATATCAGCGTGGCCAAAAGGCAGAAGAAGGGTGCGCAGCCAGAGCGCACTGTCCTTCCTGGGTCCCACAAGCCACTTGTGCCCGTTAGCACATTGTCTCTACACACACAAGAGCCCTTCAAACAAAGGTGCACATTCTGGTCGGTGGCCATGCTCTGTAGCAATTCGGCCATCGAAACACACATACACGCAGAGACACAGCGGGCCGCTGTGCAAGTTGCACTGCGAAATCTCAAGGGTCGAACACGGCAGCGCATATTTATGCAACAGCACTGACAAATCGGCCACTGCTGCGCATAATGCCAAGGGCAATTGCAGACATCGGGCTGCTCAAGGCCGTACCAAATTCTTCTGATATCAACCTGCGTGCGTCCATCAGGATACTCAATCCCACATGCCACTGGACTGCCTCCTTGAGCCTCCTCTTGCCTCACGCCTGGATCCACTCCTATCAGAACTCCTACCTTCCCAGCCTCCTTCTCTCCGACTCCCTGACTGGAAAGAATCACTCCTGCCACTCCTCATCCCTCCCCTGCCAGAAGACTCGCCCCTGTCCCAACTGCCACCCCACCTGGATGATTCACCCCGGCTGCGACCTCCCACATACCCTCCACTGTCTCCATATCGTGAAGAGTCATCTCTCCTGCCTCGGAAGCCACCAGAGCCATTCCAGTCTGAGTAGCTGCCTGATCTTCCACCCCGGCTCCTGCCTTGCCTCCTGCCGCCTCTCCCATAAGAATCCTCATAGCTGGACATGCAAGCTGACATGGGCAAGTGCTTGGGTCTATCAAACACGAGCCCCTTACAAGCTTTGCTTTCTGGGTTTTGAGCAGCTGTTTGAAGGAAGACGATGGCAAAGTCCACTGGAAGATCCACCAGGGCACCCTCTTTGTGGGTTTCGTGGTCAACAATCATCTCAATCCGACCAACCTGTGGAAAAGCAAGTCAAAGTCCCAGGCTCAAACTTGCCACAGATGTGGCACATATGTAGAACAAATGTCTGCCATATCTGTACCTCTGCACCTGCAGCATGCAAGACATGCATGCAGCCTATGGGTTTCACCACTAAATTTCCTGGTTGCTTTGGCTACAAAGACAAAGTTGGGCACTTGGGCAATGCAGGCGATGGTCCGCATTCACACAGCAGCCGCCAAGTTGAAAGAGTGCAGTCGGTCATCTGGAAGTCATGATTGAAACTCAAGCCAAGCAACCCAAGGTCTCGTGTTGGGAAATCAACCACCCATGACAGCCAGTGCCATGTCTTTCACAACGTGCGATCAGCACTTTTTGCATCTGACACAAACAACAACAGCCGAGCTGCTGAACTGACGGTCATGAGCGAAACTTCAGCCAGGCAGCCCAAGGTCTCGAGTGAGGAAATCAACCACTGATGACAGCCAGTGCCATGTCTTTCACAATGTGCGATCAGCACTTTTCGCATCTGACACAAATGACAACAGTGGAGCAGCTGAACTGTCGGAGCACATTTCCATGGTAAGCAGAAACAATGTGACCTGTTATTCTGATGACATAGTACTAAGATCTCTGCTGCACATAAGGGAGCTGTCCTGCCAATAACATCTGCCTCCAAAGGTCAATGCACAGCATATAATGGACGCAAAGCCGCTGGCTCCTATTTGTGGGCAATTGTTTAAAGCGGAGCAGCCGACTTTTCCCAGCTCGAGTGGCAATCAACCTGACGCTCAAACGGGGAACAAAATGTACATCCTTGATACAAGAAAGGACACCAAGAGCTTGTACCAAAAAACCTTCCAGTACCACACACAGCGGGTAGCATTCACACAATTCGAATAATGCATTGCATTGCACCACTTGATCAACGAGGCACACAGCCCAATTGAATGGGCCACAGCAAACAGCAGACTGCCACATCAAGCGCACCTTGCCGAAGGCATGTTCACCAACTAGATCTCCCACAATCTTCATGACAGAACCTGTTGACTGGATTCTTCCATGTTTGGCCAGCATTCTCAAGGTCACCCAACCCTCTTGTTGTGTCAACAAACTCCTTGGCTTTGGCACTCTATCAAACCCACTCATGGACGCCAAAGCTGCAGCAAGGACCTTCAGGAACAGCAAACATCAAAGGTTACGGTGAAGCCAACCACAACTCGTCACAAAGCAATTGAGATAGCTGCAACTTATTCTTGCAGAGAGGATAATAGAAACCATGCCATGGGCAAGGCGCAACACATAAACACAGCATATAAGCGCGCCATGTTGTGCCCATGTGGCATCGTCCCATACCTGTTGAGCGTCCCCAGAGCTTAGGAGTTTCTCAGCAGCAGGACCAAAAAATTTCACAACTTCTGGTTCCACTGCACCCATGCGTGTCAGCACAGATTTGGTTGATGCTTGCATGACTTCACGAGGGGCTGGTGGCCCAATGAGCCCCAACTGTGTATGTGTATCCCTCATCACACGCTGCACATTCCGTCCTTCGGATTTTGTGAACATGACGATTGTCACACCAGACTTTCCAGCGCGTCCTGTTCGGCCACTCCTGTGCAAGAAAGCTTCACTGTCCTACAGCCAAAGCAAGCAATTTCAACAAACAACCCATGGCGTATCACAGAAGCCCTAAAACTCTAAGCGCAAAGTTGGTCACCATCAAGATCAAGTGTTGGCATTATGCAACAACATGCACACCGTGGCAAGTGGGAGTGCATACACATACAGGAATGTCAGAATAAAATGATACTTGTGCATATCATCACCTGAGGGATGTCGTAGTGAACAACAAGGTCCACATTTGGGATATCAAGGCCTCTGGCTGCAACATCTGTGGCCACAAGCACAGAGAACTTCCCTTTGCGGAATCTCTCCAGTGCAAGCTCCCTCTGCTGCTGGGGAATGTCGCCATGGAGGGCTTCACAAGGAATGGTCGATGCGACAAAGGATGCAACATAGTCCGCTTCCCGCTTGGTTTGGGTGAAAACTATCGTTCTTTCACCCCCTCCATGCACAACCAACAGGTCTATTAAGATGTTACGCTTGTATTGTCGATCACTCAAGATGCCCAGGGACCTGAGCACAAAAGGGTACAGTAGCATCAGGTCAGCCAGAATCAAAATGCTCCTGTCGTTGTTCTTCATCACCAATTGCCCAGAGGCTCAACAGACAATTACCACGATAAATCCATTCCATGGGTGTGTTCCAATCGATTGCGTGCCTGCCAGCACAAGCTTGAAAAGAGTCTGCACCATCTCCTTGCAACTTGCAATTGGGAAACATGGTATGTCCTAGTGGGTGCTGCCGTCGCAACTCCTGCAGCAGGGGGTCAGTTTCACAGTATCTCTTTTCAACATTGCAGCCAAACCAGCACCTGCCCAATTTGAAACTCCAGATCCTACCATGCTCAAGATCCTTCTCATTAACACAGAAGCTGAACAGTACGTGCTGGTTCTCCACATGTTCGACTACATGCAGCAATGACCAGCACATGTCATTCCCATAATGGGGAAAACTCAGGTCAAGGGCCCTTGAATACTTGCATGACATTACCATGGAAACTCAGGTGCACATGCAAGGCACTGTTCTGTCCTTTCCAGGGATTCGCAGTACAATTGGCACAATAGGAATTGAACGCACTTGATGGACTCAGCGATTCTCCCTGTCGCATGGTCTCCCACAAGATCAACAAGCACGTGATCCTTGAGGTATTTCTTGGAAACCTTCTTCACCCATCCAGGCATAGTCGCAGAAAACAGCATTGTTTGTCTTTCCTGTGGTGCATGCTGCAAAATTTTTTCCATGTCCTCCTCGAATCCCATGTCCAACATTTGGTCTGACTCATCCAGAATGGCATAACGGACCTGGTCACGACAATGGTGACAGACAGTCAACCAGCAGCTGTAACTTAAAACCAATCCTTGACAGGCACAAAGTTCCAGCTGACTCCACCCCAAGTGATACGTTCGAACAAAAAGATGCAAAGTGCAAATTCACTATCGTTGCCTAGAAGTGCGAAGGGCTGGGCTGGGAGTTTCAACAAACAGAGTCATACCAAGCATGGCAGTTCCATTCTGCAGCCGTCCCCAGCGCCAGGCACTACTTCTGAAGTACATGTCCCAGTCACAGATCTGCTGTCCCTAATCAAGAGTGCTGTTGATGCCCACCATTGATAGGTCAAGTACACGCTGCTCGATGAGGTCCATCAGGCGACCAGGGGTTCCCACTGCCACATCCACTCCATCAGCCAGCAGCCTCCGTTGTCCAGCAATCGAAACTCCTCCGTAAAAGCTGCCAAGAGACAGGTCAGGTGCCACGGAAGCAAACTCCCGGGCAACCTGATTCGCAAGCTCCCTGGTGGGAGCCATCACAAGGGCTCGAGGTGCACGCCCACGGATGGGTCGATTTTCCTTGTGCTCCTACAAATACAGGCGATCTTTGTACTAATCTGGGGCCATGGAGACCAGCACACAACAAAGGAAGAGCCTTCAATATGCCACTGGCTGATGTTATGCAGGTTTGCAGGAACCAATGCAGCACATCGCCTCAGCAAAAGCACACACTAAAATAACACTTTACAACCCTGGGGTACAGAGCGATCCTTGCCCACCTTCAAAATGTTCTCAATGACGGGAAGGGCAAAGGCCAGTGTTTTCCCAGAACCTGTCTTGGCTCTGCAGATCAGGTCGCGTCCTTGCGAGGCTGGATCGAAAACATGCTTCTGAATTGGGAACAGTGCCACGATCCCCTTTTTCTCCAGTGCCTTCACTGTCACTGGTGACAAATGCAAATTTTCGATCTGACAGCAAGCACAACAAAAGGGTCAACCATATGACAAGAAACCTTCAGACTTTCTGTTGCAATCAGAAACCTTCAGAATTTCTGACTGCAACAGACACTCCTGCCATCTTGAATCAAACTCCGCCCCACTGCGACACTAGCATGCAAAAGCACAAGATTAACATTCCCAAACAGATGACTATTATTGGAGTAGTCTTGTCGAAACAAGCACAGCAATGAGTGACACGCCTCTGGTCCATATGCTAGGCTATCCAATGCTCACCAATAACAAGATGCACAAGTTCAGAACAGGCTAAAGACACATATGCTACCTCTGTCGCATGTTAATTGACCTCCATTTGAAAGACAAATTTCGCTATAAAAGAACAACCTTCAAATTACTTAAGGAGGTCACAACATGGAAGAATGTTCCAAAGTCCTGAAAACCACCAATTCTCAAGAGAAAAAGTCAGCCCTGACCCCTTTGGACGTTGGTCGAAAAGTAATTTGGATCGCTTGCGAGTGAGGACTTTGACCTTTACTAGGCAGAGGATCCTTGCTTCAAAGTCCTGCAAATATGCAATACTGAAGTGATTGGCTGAGTTTTTTGACTGTATAATCCAAACTTGTGGGCGCAACTTTGGACGAAATTTTGCTGAAACTGGGTTCCTTATGATGGAGAAATAATATGCCAAATTCACAAGGGCCAATTAAGGCGGGACAGAGGAAGTACACCAACCATAAGAAGTGCCACACACACTTGAATCCAGCAGTGCTGACAGTAGCACTTACTGCTAGAGACTCGTCCACCGCATCTGCTTGCACAGAGATAACTTGCTGCTCTGGCTGTCCATTCAGTTGTAGTGAAGCTGTTTGCTGCTGAATCACTTCTTGCAGGGAGCGCTGCAGAACAGGCTCTTCTGCTTCTTTGCTTGTTTCAGCCTCGTCTTCATCTGACTCCTCCACTGCTGGAGCCTGACAGTCAATGCCACAGGTCATTGAATCATGATGGGATATCTGCCAGACAACTCATCAAAGGTGTACACGACTGACCAACCCTGGAGAGGGGACCAGCCATAGACCAGATAACATTGCCGCAAACAGCCATTTCATGACATGATTGCCACCACATGCACCCTGGGTCCACAACGCAGCAGATGGAAGTGCCTTTGCAATGCGGAGCCATTGTGGTTGCTTGTAGGTACCAAATGCTGCACCCAAGGTACACATATATTCGGCCATTGTATTCGGGTAACGAATGCGTTTCAAGCCGTGGGAAAACCTGTGCCAGTCCGCCTTAGAACCCCCAATATAGTTGCAACGTGTTGCACCAGCATTGTCAATGCCCCCACCACGTTCGTCAACCAGATGGCACTGCACATGCTACAGAGGCACGTGGTGGGCTCCGATCAAGTAAAGGGGGCAGATTCTCCTCACCAGCGCACTGTGGATGGGCGCGATGGCGAACAACGACGCAGGCTTATTCCCACCCATCGCCCTGCCAACAGCGTGTGGGCTCCACAAATGCCTCAAGCGGTGGACGCCAATAGACGATCCAGCGGTCAACGACCTCGCGAACACCCGCGACACGCCGGGTCCGCTCTCGCCCAAGCCGATCGCCGACGGCACGTTCGCCAGGCACAGCGCCCGGCCCGAGCGGGCCATTCTGCGGGTCAGAACGGCCGCCCATTGGCCCAACAGGGAGGGCGCCGTGGTGAACAGCTGCACAAAAGGGTTCGGCGTGGCCACTGGTGACCGTCGGGAGGCTCTGGGATTTTGGCCTCTCCGGCCGGTTGGTGGTGGGACTCTTCAAGCGCCTGCCGAGCGCCCACTGCACATCACCAGCGGGCACTGCAACGGCGGCTGCAGTCATCATTGCAGCATAATTGGGTAAATGCACGGGGACAACTATGCCACCCTGCCGTACATGTCAATCCCGTGGCTGACTTGCTTTTCTTCTAAAAAAGTGCTGGTTACAGCTCCCATGTCCGCCGTTTTCACAGGGTGGGAGGTCAGTGATAATTCCGCAGAGTGACATGCAGGCACAATCATTGTAACCTTCAAGGCTACAATGACTGCGCCCATATATATGTGACATATATGTCACTCTGCATGATGGGATGTGATAATACTGGATCCCACACACTGATGCCCATCACTTGTAACAACACTGTGAGGGGCAAAATTACACGCGCTTGTCCGCGGACTGCGAAACCGACTGCAGACTTGTGGCAACACCTAGGTGCCGACAAGGCACTCTAGATGCAGTGTTACAGCTGGGGGACGTTCTTGACACACGGTTTTGGGGGAATTCGCGCTGGACTCCTTACAAGGGACGCTTAAGCCAAGTGACTTGGCCATCTTGTGCCCATCAACGTCACCTCGGCCACACAGACATGACTATGGCACAAGGTGGGTGGGCGCACTACTCAAACCTCCAAAGGAACGTTATGTGCTCGAGAACTTGCCGTGGGAGTCTGCACACAACTTGTACAGCCGCCAATAACGATAGCCAAGAGCAGGTTGGAAATCTGCGCAAAAGCAGTGGTGCTCATTGCATCCACGCATGGGCATGTTATTCGTGCCACCAAAGCCGAAACAATGCAACCCCAAAAGATAATGGGGATCCCTTATTGAAACCGGATGGACAACAATCACGTGAATACGCACCTTTGTCGCAGGTGCTTTGCACCACATCCTACCTGGCTAGCGCACGACGGTCACCATCAGAGAATTATTCCGATTTAATTGGATGCGCTCATGAACTTGCTTTCGTGAGGATGGGCTATCGTGTTTCTCCGAATACCAGATCGTTGTGAGCACAATGAGCGAACCTCGCCATGCCACGCCAATGCATTTCCTTGCAACCACTGCCGCTATGCAATTGCCTAAGGAACTCCTTCAGGGGAATAAAACATTACCACGGCTGACTGCACAAGAAGCAAAACATTCGCAGGCAACTCAAGGCGGGCCTCAGGGCGCACGTGACCAAAATGATGTCACCACATGCAAAGAACCACTGAACAGAACCCTGATCTGCAGCTGAGGTGAAAATCCGCACTGACAACGGTGTGTTTCAGCGCGAGCAGCAGCTCAGTCCAAAGAAGATACCCTGAGCAACGACGACACCCAGTAAAGTGGCAGCGCATGCTAGGAATTTTATCACCTCGACATGGTGAGGGGCGCTCATTGCGCTTGCAACGATTTGGAAGAACAGGTTTGCTGATCCGCATCCGCCTCGTGTCTTCTGCCCCTGCAGCCCAGATACTGGGCCGTACAGATTGGTTTGGGAATCAGAAATCAGCGAACGACAGTAATGCACACGCCAGCGCAGATGGCCTTCATGCACTTAACGAATTTGCTGTTCAAGCATCCGCTGCCAGCAAACGGCGCAAATGCCTGAGCAAGCACGGCAGAGGAAATGTAAGGGGCATGGCGGAAAAGGCGTGCTGAGGAAAGGAGACCGCCATGCCCGTGGTAGCGAGTCGTAACATGTGAACCACGGGCGACACGATCATCAATGGGAAGCTGGAACGTTAGGGACATATGATGATGAGAATGTTCTTCGATGCATATTCAAGGCTCCCACCAACTCAACTTTCCCCGAACAACACACGATCAGGCATCGCTGGAGAAATTCTTGTGGCCTCTTGGCTTCGTGGCTGGTGACTTCGGATTCTTCTATTCGCTCCTATGTAACCCTTGATCGATTGAGCCAACATTGGATGAGAACAGACGACTTGTTCATGATTGCAAATTTTTCGCGTAGACCCTCACCAATTGGGTAACAATGGTCGGGGCTGTGAATTTGTGCACTAGCTGCAAAGCCGCAGTTGGGCAAGCAGCAGCAAGGCTCAATCAGCGGCCAATCTTCGATGTTCCCTGGTGGAAATCGACCACGGACTGCACAACGCAACCCTTTCGAATATTCATTCCTTGGTTATCAATGGGCACAAAACACTAAAGAAAACTTCGCATGACAATGCGAGTTCAATCGGTGGCAAGACGAAGCTGGGCAAGTTTCGGTGTGCTACATCCGCAATGTTGGCAGACCCTGTTCCCATGGCTGCTCTTTCAAATGTGCCTCGTCTATTTATACCCACAAATCCCAGCAATCCCGACTTAATCCCCGCTCGAACCATAGTCCTCATCATCCAAGAACGCATCTTCCTTCAGTTCCTCAGACTCTTGTTCCAGCGGCTCTTCGCTCGACGCTTCAGACGTGGGCCCTTCCTCACTCTCCTGCTCAGAAGGCACATAGTCATCTGCATCGATCTGGCCACCAGGAACTGGCAACTGCTCCCCATCCTCGCTGGTGTTGTGTGCATCTGCGTCACTGTCATATTCAGGGGCAGGCTGCCTGGAGCAAAGTCTTTTTCTGCGGTGCTGGCCTTCTTCAGATTCGTCGCTGTCTAACAGGGTGCGCTTTGATCTGGCAAGGGATGTGCCCGCACCACAGTCAGTCTCCAAGTCGTCTTCCATTTCGTCAAGGTCCGCATTGGCCAGTCGCCCGGAGTTCGATGAGTCCAAGTCTACAAGTGACGTTGCAGAACCGCTGCGTGGAATGGATTCATCTGAGGGGCCATGGATGTCGTTGTCTCCACTTTCATCAGTGCCATTTTCGCCATCTGCTCTGTGTTTGGGGGAAGGGTTGTCGCTCACATCAGTGTAGGTCCCACTGACGTTCAACACATAGACACAGTGAGCTCATGCAACTATTCCAAGTGTCAGTTGAAAACACAAAGCAACACCTATCAGCGAATTTGCAGACAATCTTTGCACAAGTGGCAAGAGTCATGGCTTCTTGTTTGTTGCTCTCCGTGCATTGAACGATTGATTGATGGCGTTGCTCATGACGATGAAGTTGGCAGTCAACAACAGCACATGCATGCTGATAGCAGAATGGGGGTATGGAACATTTCCCACAGTGATGCTTGTGCCAGCAACGTGGCATTCTGCAAAGCTTTTTCTCTGATTGTGCTGCCTCTGCGCTCAGTCTCGCTATGTTCGTTCTCTTCCCCCATCCGGCAAAGAGTTCATTCAGTCTTGAAAAGGAGACTGTCCTAGATACATTCAACAAGGGCAGAAGGGCACATGGTTTGCCATTGTGTAGGTGTCCACATGGCACTGCAGTTTTGATAAGCCATGAAAGCAAGAGGGCAAAGAATGCCTTACACTCACACAAGTTCGAATGCATGGATGCAAAACATACATGGCCGCCAAAGCCGAGCGCCCTCTTTGTTGGCCTCTCTTGAGTGCTTCAAGATCGTGTTCAGCAACAGACTCCTGTCCAACACCTCTGTCAGTCCGCCCTGAAAACTGGTGGTTGTCAGGCTTCACTTGGCGGCCTTGCCTAATGGCATGGTCCAGCATGTTGTTGTAGTCTGTAAACGTGTTGTCCACAGGCTTCCTTGTGCGCAGGGACCTGCATGGGGCCCAAACTTGAGAACATTGAGGGCACCAGCTATGATGCAGATGCAGAGCTGAGGGGTTGAAGACTACAGGCAGCTCTCTGTGAATTTGCTTGCATCAAAACTTCAAAAACATTCATGACATGGACAAGCCACAACCCCCTACAACAGACATTTGGTTAACAATGCAAACACAAATGTTGAACACACTACAGCATCTCGTGCGTTTTCGGTAAAGAATGCATGCATCAATAACTACCAGAGCTGCAGTGCTCTGTCATGCCTTTGGCAAGATAACACTACACAAGTCCTCTGAGTGCATCTTGTTACACCACTCTTATGCTGCTCTTTGTTAAGTCAGAATTTTGTTGCAGCATGAGACACCTGTATCATCGTTACATGGCACAAAGTCTCACAATTCATGGAGTCTGTCCTTGCTGAAATTTCTCTTTCTGGCATCATTTGAGGAAAGATGCTACTTTACGAATAGATGTGGCCAACAGACTGTCCCTCACAGCTATGTTGTGGGCCCTCTTTCGCCCAGTGCAAAGAAAACAATGGCTGCATATTCAGGAAAGCGCAAGTGTGAAGGTGGTGATGCTCCACCGAACAGACAGCAACAAATAAAGCTTCGAAGATCCCTAAGCATTGAGTTGGCCACAAAGAAATGAGATCATCCCTTCTGTCTGCATCTTCAATCTGCATCAGGTCCAGAACTTGGAGACTCAGACGGGCACATTAGTAAACAGAAAACAGAAGCCTACCTGCCATAGCCACCATTGCCATCTAGAATAATGTTTCCAAGGCTCATTTGTACTTTGGCAGCTGCCTTTCGTCGACGCTCTTCCGCCTCATGGCGCTCATGAAGGCCTGGAACTATCTCATCAAGCAGCTGGAAAATGAAGAAAGTAGTTGCATTAGTCAAATGTACAATATTCCGATTGAGAACTTTGCTTTGAACATTAATCCACATCAACACAGGCTCCTCATAATTCGATTCGAAATACTGATCATGGCTGCTGAGCACTGCCAGAAATTCCAACAGTCCCTGATCCTACCGTTGCCTTGGAAAATCTTTCAATACAACACTGATTCAGGTACATGCCAGGACTCTGATAACATCATTTGGAGAAAATAATGACAGATTGTAATGAAAAGAGCATGAACATGCACTTTTTATGGCAAGCAGCAGATTCCCTGCCAGCACCTTGATGTAGTTGGCCCAGTGGCCATCTTAGCAAGAAAAAAGTGTAACAAAGAACAAGCCAAAAAATGAAGTGTCCTCTCCAAGCAAAAAGCACCATCAGAAAGTGCTATATAATAACAAATAATGGCAACAGCTAAAGCCTTAGCGGGACAGCCTCCTTGCACATATTGTCAACATCGTTTGTATGTGGACACAATATGGTAGTGGGAACTGACAATGCACATGACAATTTATCCACAGTGAAACACCTGAGAATCCTTTTCTCCTACCTTTCTTGCCAGTGCTTTGTCTGCCCTCTTGTTTGAGGACCCCAACCGCTTCCCCTCCCCCTCCAAGTCACTGACACTGCCTGCCACCACCAGCCAATCGCCACATGCAGGTGGTGCGGCCTGTGAGCCCTTTGCCCTGTGCCTTCCACCACCTTGCTTTTTCACCATTTTCTCCTTCACATCCACAGGGACACTGCAACAAAAAGGGTAACACCCATGTGAACAGCCACAGGATAGCCTTCACTTGCCATCCTACAATAAACAGTCATGCGACACTCACAACAGCTTTTGTAGCTGTAATGCAAGGTATCACATTTGGAGCTCCCGGTGCCCCACCCACCCACTCACCCACCACCCCTTTTCAGCAGAGCAGGACAGGACGCCTGGGACAGTTCTACCAATTTTAATAGATCAGAAGGCAAATGGAACAACACAACAAAAATCACCAAAAAGACAGACTCTCAAGTGAAAAGAAGTTCCACCAGGACAATGTCACTGCTGGGCAAAATGTAGTCTAAACAAAACAATGCACTGATCATATTCGCACAGAGTATTTTCCCCCAAACATGACGCTCAGCACACCATCTCCACAGGCCTTCTGATGCTGACAACACCTGGCCCTTGCACAAAAGCTGGGTCCACCTGTACATGTTCTGTGAGCGCACATTTCACTGTTTCGAGGTTGCTCTTCTTTGTACAGCCTGACATCTGACGTGTTCAGAAGGTCAAGGTACCAGTAGTGGCAACCCATGCTGTCACGGCCTGCACAATAAATGTTAACACCAAACCTTAAGAACACCAGCCACTACAATGGTGGCCCTGGCTCAAGTAACACCAGGCGACAACTCAAGGCTCACATCGATACTCGTTGAAACTGAAAACAGCACTAGGAAGGGCATGAGGTCTTGAACTGTGTCAACTGGGCAGAATCTGAGCAGCATCAAGCCCCCAGCAGCACACTCTGCGATGCCAGGGAGAGGTAGGACATCAGTGTAGACAGCACAAGCCAGACAAAGCAAACTTCAACAAGGGCTCGTGTGGGCATACCAATTGGCTCTTTTCGCACGTCATTGATGGAACACGATGTCACAGTGGCCTGCACATGGACAATGTTGCATCAGGATGGAGCATTGTAACGCAGTAACAAAAAAGACAAAACAACTGGCTTGGAAACAAGAGGGACTCCACACCTGATTATTCCTCACACCCTTCGCCTGAGACTTTACTTTCCTTGGTCTCAACACCTCGTCGATTGTGATCCTGATATCTTCTCTCTCAGCCCGTATATCACATAATGACTTAAGGGCATGCACTCTATCACACACAAACAGCCTCATGCACAGCTTGCTGGTAATGCCTCCAGATAACAGATTCAACAACCCCAAACATCGTGGTGATACACAAAGACACCAACCAATGAACTGTGCTCAACAGTTGTGTCATGTTGGCCCCAGGACATTTCTCGCCATGTGTGAATGTCGACTATACAAATTGCGGCACTGTTGCCAAAACTCAGGTTTTGTAGTGTGGCCAAGCTTCCCTTTCAAGGGCAGTGCTTGTCAATTCTGGCAAAAGTAATCTGAACATAGTTACTCAGCAAAGCTGTATGTTGGACAAATGAAATGGAGTCACAAAAGTGCTAGAGATTGCTTGCAGCAACTGTTATCATCGTACAATCCATCTCAGCTCACCGGACGACCGAAGGCAGTTTGGCATAGTCCTCTGATTCCTGTCCCTTCATGGGCCTGAATGGCAGGTCTGAGACTCCTTGTTCACGCCGCCATTGGTCATGCAGTTTCAGCGCCAGCTGTGCAGTCCAGTTGAATTCAGACAACTGCATCCGGGGGCTAATGCCACGAAGAAGGGCCTGTTGCGGGGAAACAAAACATATCACGTCAGACACTGCAACATTTTGGCTGCTGCGCTGTAGCAGTCCTGAAAGTCTGCACATCAGTACTCTTGAAGAACGTGCCAGGCTGAGAGTGAAGACCACAAAGAGAAGTTGGTCCACCATGTTCAAAACAAACAATTATTCTCTCAACAGCTCAACATCCTCATTTGCCTAGATGCCATCAGAACCATTAGAACCACAAGTTAGCTATCTTCCGGGATTCCACAAGACAGGAAAATATCATTTGGGAACAAATGGACAGTTGTTGGATGTTGCTATGGCCATCATTGCCACTGGAAATTTGACTTCTTTGTGCGTTGTTGACAAAAGCAATCAGCAGGGCATTAAGCTTGACACAGTGAACTGATGGCCAGCAAAACCGTGCACCCATTCACAGCATGACACAAGCTCTCACCATGTGCAGATCGGCAAGCAGCCCAGGTCCTGGAGATTTGACTAACGCCTCCTCCAGAGCATCTGCACTGTATGAAACACCAATGCCCAACTGAGGCTTGAACACATCAAGAAATTCGAGTATTGCAGCCATCTCCCACATCGTTCGAATTGCTTGAACCTGAAGTTCTGCATCTTCCTTGCCAACCTCCCGGCCAAGCACTGTTGACCAACAAACAATGTGTGAGACACGCTTGTACAACAGTTCCCATGTTCACATATTCCTATACTCACAATTGCCAATGATTGCATCCAGGAAGTTTCTCAGATTCAAGACACAAATTGTGAACTTACTCCATTCTGCACTAACAGCTACCTGAACCTCTTCTGGCTGCATATATAAGATGCTGTTACATGACCAGAATGCACAGTCATGCAGCAGTAGCAAAAGAACGAAACGATGGACAGTGAATCGCTGTGTGTGTATGTAGGTGGACAAAATCCTACAAGAAAGATGGGTATAGCAGCATTCATGGCAGGCAGGCAGCAAGCTGTGTTATTCCCCAGCTCTCTGACCTCCCATAGTCAGGCGAGCACAAGTGATGTGACAAAAACAAAATGCATGCAAGAGCTTTGAGGGCACTATGTAGTGCAGATTGCAAACTGTTCTGGTCTGCGCTCCAGCCACCAAGACATATCTTTTATGAAGCAAGCATCGTAAGAGCGCTGCAGGTGCAGTAGTCGTATCTATCTGTCTGTCTGTTGTTTCTGTCTCTGAGTTCAGAACAGAGGCACCCCAAACACGCCAGGAGTCTGGTAGCTGACTGGTGGACACATTGCCAGGTATGCATTCATACGTCAATAAGCCTCCTGCAATGTGGACAGCCAAGGGCGCAATGCACAGGAGGCTGCCAACCTTGCTGAGTTGAGCACAATCGCCATAATGTTGCTGCAATTGCCAATCCCCACGTGGCTCTGCCATCAAAGCAATCCTCTCACTCACACAACCCAAGGCACCAACCATCGGCGCAGCGCCCCTTCAGACATCTGAGCACCAGCAGCCGGTGGTATACCTCCGGACCAAACTGAGGCGACAAACTGCCCTCCGTCCGTTGGCGATCAGCACGCACCTGGGGTGGCATCTTCCGAGTCCACCAGGTCCGCATGCACTTCAGTGAAGTTTCCGCTGGAGTCGTCCGGACGCTCCGGTGCCCGTGACCTCAATTTTCTGGTCATCTCGTTCTCCGGGCGTTCTCTGCGTAACCGTTTCTTGCCCCGCTTCCGCTTGGAAGGCCGCTTGGGAGGCCTGCGCTTCCCCGTGCGGTACTGTTTGGCCTCGTACTCCGAACTGAAAGTGCTCGAGCTATCTGAATCCACGCTCTCGCTCTCATAACTCTGCTCGCTGGGGCTGGTCCCCGCGTCCTCGCTGCCCACCACGTAGTCGCTGTCGCTCACGTGATCGGCGTCAGCATTGTCGTCCGGGACTTGGCTACCCTCCAGATCCACACCCACCTCGTCGGCGCCGCCGCTAACCGCGCAGCCTTCCGAAGATGGGGCCGTCTGGCCCGTCGGCGGGTCTTCGTCAACTGCGGGGGCTGGTGCAGGCAATGTCGGTTCAGCGGCCTCAGGCTCTGCGGCTCGGGCGCCCGCCCACGGGCCCTGGGCCATCGGCAGCCGCGCTGGTTCGAGCTGCGTGCTAGCGACGACGGAAGACATGTCTGCGGGGCATGCGCCCGCTGCCCCGGGCGCGACAGTCCCGCCGCCCAGCGCGCAAGGAATCATGGGGGCAATTCTCGCGCTGGTGGGGCAGGAGCCAGGGCCAAGGGCGGGGGGCAATTGCTGTCTTGGCCACCTTTTTGGGCAGGGTTTCCGGGCCCATGTGGTGCATTAAGTACTAGAGGGGTGCCAAGGGTTGGGCATTGTGAACCCCAGACAGTGCTGTTGGGGCTGGCTGGAGTTGTAGCTCCCAGACCATGTGGTTCGCAAATTGCAACGCTCCCCACGCTCGCGGATCCCGTTGACGAGAAAGCTGAGCCCTCAGGCTGCATAAACCGTACCGTACAGTCCTTGTGAGGCAGGAGGTTTCCGACATGTACAATCCATCAGGCTTTACATTCCACAAACAGTTGCTTTGATTATTTGGTACAGCGATTTCATGCCCCACCCTTGTTTGCTGTGGCTGGGGCGTTTCCGGTCACTAGTTACAAGATAATATTTCTGCAAAAAGCACCAATTGGATCTTCGGTTTCAGAATCTGTTCCTCTTTCTAGTTCCAACCGGCAGGCCCGCAGAATTGCCAGACAAGGTTCAGGGCAAAACGACTCAAACTTTCCTGACCTGACGAAAACCAAGCGGATTTTTTTTACGCGTTGGTGCGACCTTTTTCCGGACCAAAGCACCCTCGCCTACTCGTGGGGTTCCTGCCGCGGTGGCTGCTGTCGGCCAGTTCACCGAAGATGCTCCTGCCGACGAGAATTGAAGAATAAGGATGGGGCAGGAGGGTGCGCCCACCACGAGTAGGTGTTGGAGTAGACCAGCTGCCCAGGCGTTGTCCCCTAGTGGCGGCATGGCGACCGTCCCAAGCCGTTAGGGGTGGTCCGCTTGTCATTTTGTCTTGGCTCGGAGATCTGGACCCGCGCTGCCTGGATCTCTGCTGCTTTTTGCGGCTGCTCAGCGCCCAGATAGAAGCCACATGGCTTGTCCACGAATCGATTTTGTAACAGCGCGTGTCTATGGCGGTTTGGCTGGGGTGTGAGCGGGGCCCCAAGCGCCCAGACGACCCATATGTTGGCCCGGTCATTTCGCCCCGAAGAAGGGACACAGCACGGTATTCAACCTGATTCTCGACTGGGCAGCACATGTTCCCCAGGCACTTCGTTTGGCCGTGTCCAAACCGGCCCCCTAGAAGCCTTCCAATACCAGCAGTTTGCTTGACCCGACCCGCCTCACAGGCTGTCCATGCTTCTGCAAATCTCGCTTAGCGCCACCAATTTTGCTTTTTCGGCACTGCCGTTGGGCCACGGGGACGATGCGACGTCGCTGGCACCTCTGTGGCGAAGTATGCGGTTCCTCTTGTTGAGGGGCGCAGGCAGCCAATGCCCTACTCAAACAAGGTGCCACTGTTGTTCGTCTGCTAGGTGAGGCGGGCCACAGTGACTTCTTTTCTGAACAGAACAGCTTGGCAGAGGGCCTGGCATACAACATCTTGAAACAGGTAGGAGGTGGGGCTCTTGGTGGGGAACACTGGAAGGCGGTCCACCTCGACCAACGCCACATGTTAGTGAAACCGCGTATGCTATGTTCGCATCCTTGTTGCACTTGCGTGTTTGTCTAACGTTCCACTACAAAAGGAGAGACTTTGGCTTGGCTGCAACCTGATTTGGCTCACATGGTTTGCAGCACCTAGTGTCCATGCCATGGCAGGGCAGATGGCCTTCACCATTGTGGAGACTACAGTTAGTTGCCATGTATGCATCCTTTGATGAACTTATGCCACCTGACATGGAGGTTGTGCGGGCGGAACGTGAACACGGCGGCGCGTGGCGCGAGACATCAAATAGTTTTTTCTGCTGCCTGAACTCTGTCCGATTCTGTGGATGCAGACTGAGTTTAGGAGTGAATGGATGGTTGCATTTTCCCAAGAAGGCAAAATGTGTCACACAATGGTCATCCATCTCCAGATGGAAATGTTGTGAACTTTTGACTTGAAGATGGGAGCCCCTGTATATATACACATTAATTATGGCGAATCAAGGTCATAGCAAGATGTGCAACTACAGAAGGATGCTGACACAGTGTTGTATTCAGAAAACAGCATTGACCTGCTAGAAATAGTGCTGGAAACTCCACACCAACATCATTTAAAATACTGAAGTTCTGTAGCCCCCTTTCCACACGCAGAGATGATACAGTTGTCTTTCAGTGATTTGGGAAAGCATGCAGTAATTTGAAGAGAGCAACTGGCACTCAGGTGGCATGTGTTGGTCAAGTATGGATGCCATGGCAACCAGGTGGCTCTCCGAATTTTCTCTTCACCTTTACACTGCCAGATTGTAGTATCAGCAAAGCAGTTGTGGGTGGCCAGATTGCTAGCAGCATTGTGATACCACTGGTTGCTGGCATTCTGTGGCAGTGAATGTGAGGTGAATGGTGTGGCCTGGGTTATGATGTGCCATGGCAGAGAGAAGGACAGAGTGGGACAGACGGCAAGAGCCGTGCCGAGTTATTTGCACTTAAGCTTGAGGTGAGCATGCATAGTTGATTGGGATGGGGTTGATATTGTCCCTAGGATATTCTCCATTCCAGCTTGTTGCAACAGGTGTGTTATGCCTATTGCTCCTGTTGTTTTTTTCATATCTTTCCTTGCAATGCAGGCTGCAGCTCACTGGATAGGTGTCTGTGATCCTGAGCATTTTGCTCTCGCCTTTGTGGCTTGTAGATTGATTACAGTGGAGGGCCTTGTTGTGTAGTTCTCCTTGGACGATATGTGTCAACAAGTGCAGCACAGTGGGAACACATTGACAATACAGTGTGTTTGGCTTGTTCACACAAACCCTGCAAAGTCTGTTTGTCCACAGGAGCTGTGATAAGTAATTGAACAAAGCCTGTTTCAAATGTCCCTTTCATTTCAGCATGTCAATACTTGCTTCAAAGAAGGGGGGTTTGTTTTCACAGAGGGAACGGAGTTCCATGCTGTCGGCTGAAGACATAAAGCAAGCATGTGACATTGTGCAAGAGGAGGCAACCCTTGCAGATGAGAATGGTGTGGAGTACATTGATTATGAAGGCTTGACTCGTGTGCAAGATCGTTGCCACGATTTGTGGGGCTCTGAGCTTGACCGATGCTTTCGAGCCAGCACATTTCTCAAACTGCGGGGATTAGGAGGCTCTGTCCCAGCAGGAAGCCTGACAGAGTACATCAAACGTTATGTAGACATGCGAAAACTGGTAAGCATCTGCACAACAAGTTCAGGCAGCACTAGCTGTGTGGGTCAGCTGGGGATTTGTGGAATTGATGGCCATGTTCGGGTGATAGCCCCCTTCTTTGCACTGTGAAAGAGACAATGTGCATGTTATTGCGCAGACTGACCAAAGGATGTGTTGCTGTTCACAGCATCTGGATCTTAGCACCTACGATCGAGAAGGCTGTGGGATTGTGGCACTCAAAGGGCTCGAGGAGTACCTGGGGCACTGCCAGCTATTTGAAAGGCAAGGCATGGACAAGAAGCGCATCCAACAAGCTAATCAGGTTGCTGTCCAGAAGTTTGCATTTCACCATGTGCTTCGGAACGAACAAATGCGTGTGGTGGACCTGCTGACCAGCACAGTTATGGAGGAGCTGCAGGAGGTGAGGAGGGCGATGGAGTCAGCGACTGACAGGAGGAGAGTGGCAGACTCAGGCAGCTGGTTTTCAAGACAGGTCGGTCGAAATCTGGACTGGAAGTCTTTGGAAGCTGTGGGCACAGCCTGGGTTTTGAAAGGTTTAGGTGGCCTCACATGGAATGGCTGAACAGCAGCTTGCACACACTTGTCATCAGCAGGCAAAACGTTACTCATTCACGTCACTACAGGCGTTGCAGGTCATGGGAACTCATTTTCCGTTTTCGTTTGCTTCGTGTTGCTCACTTCCATGCTCACTAACTGTGACAAAGTGCTTGCCTGTGAATGGTGTCTGGGGTACTATGCGGCATCTCAATTCTATGGGTGTCTCTGCCATGCTGAACTGCCATTTGCTGCCCTTTGGAACAGGTGATCGAAACGGTCCTCGATTCGTTCTTTGACTTGTCTGGGCCAACAGGAGGTGACAGGGTCACATTACAGATGCTTCTAGAATTTGAGGGCACCAAGTTTTCCGAATTGTTTGTGAGGCGCCTATTTGAGGAGCACGTCTCCAGCTCAAGGGCAGGTGAGGAAGGGGTTTCAAGCTCAGGTGACAAGGGGAGAACGGAGGGGACCATGGGATTGATGGACTTCACCAGATTCGTGGTTGCCTGGCGGGACCGCTCCAGCAAAGCTGCTGTGCGATATTTCTTTTCCATCTTTGACGCTCAGAATCATGGGTACTTGGACTATGTCGACGTTCGGACGTTCTTCAAGGAGATACACGAGTTGTGGAAGGGATCCGGCCAGGACAGCCAGGACGAACCAGGCATGTGCGAAAACGTCGTGAACGAAATTTTTGCCATGGTGAACCCAGCATCCCCCGGTCGAATAACGAAAGACGACCTGTTCAAGTGCGGCAAGGCAGTGACGGTGATAGGCATCCTGTCGGACATGTGGGAATTCTACAGGCATGAACACGGAGAGGGAGAAGCTGGGCTGGAAGGAGAGGGCTTTGTGGAGTTGTAGGAGGGGAGACTGTGAAGATTGAATGGAGTAGAGGATGGTGTTGGTAGGTCTAACGAAACTGGGATTATTTCGTCGTCAAGTTAGGTTTGCATTGGCGACTCGAAGGAGGAAGTGGGTTTTGCAAACCCCTGGGCAAGCACAATAATTTTGCAAAGATGCAAGTCCATGATCATGCGATTGGCACTGCGGAGCGTGCCCTGTGCATTTGTTATTCTGCACAGTACGATCACCCACCAATGCAGCACACATTTAGTGTGGCACTGTATGCACTTTGCTGCTGCCACACATCAATTGAAGAACTGCTTGTTTTTGGAGGGTGGGGTGTGGGGTGGAGTGGGGTTCTGCCTGCTCTGCACTGCGCTGCTTTCATGCTTTGGCTTCCACCACTGATTGGTTGGCTTATTGAACTTTGCTCATGACGCCTTTTACTGACCGCCCGTTGCTCTGGGCGGATCACGTTCATTGAGAAAACGCTTTGCATTGATATATGTACGCTCAGCGTCGAATTGATGCTACGCTCAGAAAGCGCCCACACCGCCGCCTCCTTATTGTCAGGCCTAATATCGATGCCAGGTTAACATGACGCAACGTCAAGGCATCTACAAGGGAGGGAAGCAACCTGCACAGCAGCGGTTGTGGAGGGTTGGGAAAACTTGAACATACCTTGAAACATACTTGACATGATAGCAGGTGATGGGGCCAGCCTTGGAGGCTGCCACCTGAATCAATCCCTTGGCCTTTGATGTTGGAAACCAGTTAGGACCTCGCAGTGTCATGCTTCGCGCATGCATGTCCCCGTGCCCTTTGTTCACGGATCTATACACATGCACGCCCCGGTGACAATTAAACTTCCGAGTCGCATGCATGCTGTGCTGCTCAAGGTATGGGTCATTATCTAGTGTAGATATAATATTGCCATTGGGACAAGTGGTGATGCCGTACCCCACACGTTCCTATGTGCCAGCCAGCACCTGCAGGGAAACCACCATTGGCTCATGTATAGACTATGCATGAAATGCATGCATAAACTCTACATGACCTTAGGAATGAGTCCTAAAGCAAGCGTCCATGACATCTCGTGACCCCAGGAGACCCAACCTTGGTCTTGCCAAGAGAACGTACCTCAACCACTTCATCCTGTCTAAAAGGCAGATGAGCAGCGCCCATCCATTATGTTCGCCGTTAATATTGTCTGTTGCTTCACTCAGCGAGTCACCCATATGATGCAATATCGGCACTGTTACCCAGCCTGTCCCAACTGTTGGTCATGTCCCACTCATCGAATGGAGTATTGTTTCACTTCTTTAAAAGCAAATGGCCGATGGCGCACTTAACAGTACTTTGTTTCCAGAATGGTGGCTTGCTCAACGAACCGAAGGGCCATCTCATGCAGTGCATCACGCTTTTTGAAACGACGGCCAATGGCCATCACAAGACACATATAGCTCACTTCTATGAATCTAAAATAAGATGATTCAGTTTGATCGGTCGACTCGCTCGCCAGGTCCAAAGCACATCAAAACTTGCTACCATAAGCGAGATGATGGACCACCTGCTAAAATGTGGAGCAATACGAGATGCAAATTGCAGTTTGGAGATTCTACCGATGCTTCTTTGAAGGACTGCAATCTGGGGGTCGAATGGCACAAAAGCCCCTTTCCTCAGATCTTTCTCTCCATTTCTCGGTAATAGGGAGACTGCACATAATTCTAATCCGATTTCCATTGCTTCTGCGCATCAACAGGGTGCATGTCACCTTGAATCCCAATGATGTACTTCAACTCTGAATGACATACTTCGAACAGTGGACAGAGCAATACCTGGCTCGGCCAGCGAATGGGGAACAGTTTTTGATTTCAGTTTGAAGAATTGGTAGTGAAAACACTGATTGTTAGGATGAAATTCCAGGGGTAGAGTTCGACAGCATTGACTGCCTTGGGCTTGATGACATGCTGGGAGTTGTTGGGCCTGGAAATTGGAAACAATGGCTAAGGCAGCCTGATCACACCGAATTTTGTGAACATTCTGCGTTCTGATGCATAACAAGTCAGTGATTAGACTGCAGTATATCTTTTGGGTTCTCGTAGATCAATTCATGGGTACTGCCTTGCTGGGGCGAAATGGGGAGCCGATAGCTGCATCCCCGCCTCGTTGTGCAAACTTTCATCATCATCATCATCATCATCATCATCATCATCATGATTTTTTACAGAACAAGGCAATGAGGTAGCCGTCAGCTTCCTATTTTGCCTGAGCACAGCAGAGTCGGTGATTGGTTCATTGGAATCTAAGGAGAATACAAACTAAATGTATGATCTATGAAATTTCGATGCCTAGAAGTGATAATCGATGGTAATACATCAAACGAAGTGTGTTCGCAAGCTGTCGAGCTGGAACTGTAGCAAAGAGTACTTTTGCATTGCGACATTGAAAAATACGAGAGTGGCTTCGACGGATGGTATCGTAGGCTTTGCAGTGGAAGAGAAAATGGAGCTCGTCTTCAGGTGCCAAGTGACATAACGGACACAATCGCCTTGAAAATTCAGGAATGGATTGTCTCGCTTGGTGTCGTTGATTCTCGACTTCCAGGAAATGCACCCCACAGCGAAAGCATAGTGTTCGAGTGCCATGATGTTGCGACCAGCTGATCAAGTACCGTCAGGAGAGTGTCTACACTTGGGAACAGCAATATGGCTCAACGATCTGCCATATGCGCTCGACAAGAGTCACCAATGACACAGCGACTATCACCGTCCTGCCAATCGCCAACGATTGCTGAACATCGTCGGAAAAAAGTTGCATATCCTGGATATACATATCCAGGATATGGCCATATCCTACTAGTACTGACCCTCACGAAACAGAGTACCGCCCCATGGTGTGGGTGTTTCGCGGTGTTTCGCGAAACACCCGGTACTCAATATTCTGGGCGGTACTCTGATATTAGTACCGCCCCACAATGGGAAATTTAGATTGTGGTCTAAAACATGGAAATTATGTACCATATGATAATTTTCAGCTGTGAACACATGTGGATAGTGGTGTTCACAGGCTTGGTTTCCATCCAACCAGAAATTATGTTCCATGTGGCCAGTTCCATGTCATACTGGAGGAGGCCCACCTAGCTGACGTCCCAGCACTTTGTCCATGGTAAAATGGTTTTGCAGCGCGGAATTTGCACCGCGACAATTGAACATCAGCAGTTTTCGACTACCGATTTGGCAAATAGACCTAAGTAGGAGTCTGACACTTCTTGAATGACCTCAAACGGGTTGGCGGTAACGAAGATCGTGCTAGCTGATGGCCCAGCGCCCTCTCCGGGACCAATCGCGGCGGGTGCAATTGGCGGTACTTCGTGCGCTTCTGAACGCCCGTGGGCAGGGTAGTTTTTTGGCAATTTGTTGATGCAAATGACAGCGGTGCACGAGGAATCAAATACGCAACATGTCAACGTCTTGACTCATTTTCTGATGGACGATTTTGGGCACGATATCTCGAATCACTGTTGAGTTTTGAGCTCAATGCAATGACGTGGTGCATGCCCACAGCCGCGTACATACTTTGTTGGCTCTGGCGCATAGCCATTGACGACGTTCAATTTCCCTTGGTGTCGGTGAACTTATCCACGCTGTACCTCTGCACGTCATAGCCCCTCTTGGCTCCAGATTTCTGCGTGGCCAGCTGCGCGGGATGATGGCTGTTGCTATGATTTCCCAAACAAGGCTGCCATGCACGTAACTCTAGACTCTTGGGATGCGGACTTACATCTTTGTGCTACTTTCCTTGCCTGCTGCTCAAGCCAACAGCTCGGTATGACGCTGAAAGATGACGCATTTTGGCAGCGCGCAGGCATCCCAATATTAGCAGGCCGCATGCCATCACGATGCATCGGACTGGTGCATAACTACATAAGCTTCTGTCCGTAATCATCATTTGGCCCCACCAATCTTGAAATAGATCTTATTTCAGATCACTTGTTCCATATTGCCCTTGGGCAAATAACGGGATGTGAAGAATGATATGCCTCCTCGCTGGGCATTGTGTTCACGATGCTGAGCATCGGGTGCATCAACAATGCACTTACCGAAGTCCAGTGTCTGGATTTTGGCGGAGCAAGCACAGGTGGTGAGGGGATGGGTGAGGGCAGGGCGAATCGAGTTGGTGGGCTGAGTTGGGGAGGTGTGAATCGTGCTAGCATACAATGATGCCAAACCAATCAAGCACATGGCAGGGCATCCAGAAAACTGCACAGTTTCGCCTGCCAGGCAGGGAGCAGGCACCCTCCAAGCGTAATAGGTGGATGTGCAGCCTTGAATCCTGTTCACAGGATTTGCATGGCGATTTCAGGGGCCAGACTGGGATTGAGCGTGTTGCCAGTTAGTCACTGGCAGTGACCCCACAGCACAGGGTACCTGAGAACAAAACCTTGAACTTGCAAAGGTCTGGCACACTAAAAAGGAACCGTCAAGACCCCTCCCACCCCCCAGTGTTCATCACACCATACTCAGGATCCTGAATCAAGCGCCTGTTCTTTTTTCGCATTCAATTGAACTTTCCATTCGAATTACAAACCGCTTCCCATGTCACCCATCGACCCAGTATTGGATCCTGCCCAGTTCCTCTTGCAGAAATTACATTGCATAGTCGTTGGTGAGCTGAGCAGTAGCCTGTTCCCACTCTCAAATATCACACAGTCGTAAATGAGTTGCTTCAGGGCTTTGGGCCACAGCTGTTGAAATCGATGCCCCACAAGCGATGCCACAGAGCTGAGCCCTCCAAGGTTTCGTTGCCACAGGGCAAGGGGTTGGAGTGGCCCTTGCCGTCCACCACATTCCCACAGCATCGCTCCCATGGAGAACATGCCAATTTTATCGTTGAGCGGCATGTTCTTCATGAGACGGACGAGCAGCACTTCCAGCGCCATGCCTCCTGCAGAAACGCAAAAATAAAGCCATTGAATCTGAGAATCTACTGAACCGCAGAGCTTTGTTTTCCTTGTC